AATCAAACGTGCCAGATCAAATTTTATTTGATTTTTTTAAACACTGATCTGATTTCAGGAACGTTCCTTGCGAGAATCGGTTTGGTGTCAAATAACATACCGTGAACTCCCATGGATCCCCTGTAGTGGATTTATACGTATCCGGGTCAGGCCGGAAGTCTTTTAGCATCGCAAAAAATTTTGCACAAACCTGGAGTGATTTTACCCGGCTGTGACCCTCAAAAACTGTGAATGTGAATCTGCAATAAACATTTATATGCTGGATGACTGGCGACTCAACCAGTATACCACAGCCATTGGCTTTAACAGGGCGGAATTGCTTTTTAAAATGCATTCATCTTAATGGAAGGGAAACGAAGAACGTGCGAGTTAAAACACCAAGAATCCATGTGCATTCCATTTCAAATGGGTTGGGCGAAGGATATTACTGCTCTCAAATTTAAAAAAAATAATATATATAATTTTTCTCATCAGCATTGTGCATTGCACAAGAAAATTCCATTCCTTCTATTCTCTCGATCACGAAGGAAATTCTTTTTTTCTTTTCGTACAGGAGCCTCTGCAAGGTCATCTTGTCTTCGGTGCCAGCCCCGATCCCGACGGCCCTGCCCCACACCGGTAGGAAAGACCTCCTTTCGTTGCATGCTCTTCATGCATGCTGAAATGTGAATGGATGTCGCGAGTGGATCGTCCGAGTGGAGACTGCATCGCGAGTCGTCGCGAGGTTGGGGGCGTTTTCATGCTAGCTTGTGATACATGCCGTGATGTGAGCATACTGATGCATGCCAATATGTGTGAGACGTACCTTTGACACGAAGGGTGGTCCAAAATTTACTTTCGGTCCTTTGCCGTTATAACGTTTTTAAACCTGCCGAGATGAACCGAGGAAGTTCACGATGTAATGCTTGATGTCAATCGATATCGTGATCGACATGGTCGTGTCCGTCTTACAACTATTTTTCACAAATTAGGAAAATCGTCTGTCAGTTGGTACAATCAATTCACAAGGTATTTCAGAATAGACCGCCGGACGCATGACGTGTTTGCGGAAGTTTTTGGCAACAGGTTCCCAGCGATTATGGGGAGAAAAAAAATGATGAACTCAGATCCGGCCAGCCGGTGACAGTCGGCAAGAACGAAACGTTCAAGACGTTCATTTTTTTTATTATGAAAGCTGAGCATAAGAGTTTCTTTTATTATGAAGACGATGGCAGATATAGATTGCCAAAGCAACGAAAATAGCACTCGCTATGGGCAAAAAAACCCAGAGAAGAATGTAGGATCCCTCGGTAGCTTTCATGTTATAGAGGATCTTCCGCTGATTCTGGTTTTGCAGGGGTCGGAAGTTGTCCGTCAGGTTTTTCCCCGTCTTCGACTTCAATCTGTTCCATTTTTCCAGCTGCACACGAAAATGTTTTCATGGTAAAATATTGAAACTAAAACACAGAGGCCTAAAAGGCACCTCAGCAAGGACAGGGAATTTTTTTCCCTAATACTTATAATAATTAAATAATAATTAAAAGCCACGAAAGCGCAGCGACGAGAACACTCTGGCTAGGGAACATTCTGGCAAGGGAACACTCTGGCCGACGAGACCTTGGCGAGATCGCCTTCCCCTTCGATGTTCTCCCGGATGGCGACTTCTGCTCGAGTCATTCTGGCTCGAGTCGGTTCGCCAGGAAGTTTCCATTCGCGAGAGGGATTTGGAGTGGGCCCGACGAGTGAGCCTGCAGAAATGCCATTAGAAATTTCTGGCGTTTGCACTAGTTGCGTCTCTGACGTCATCACGGTCGATTGGGTTCTGCAGAACGGAGCGTCACCAGATGCCTTTAGTATGTCAGCTCGAAAACAAGAGGATTTCTGAATGATGAGAGTGCTCGGAGTAGATCGCTTCTCGTTCGATTTGTAACACCCTCTCTCGAAATGTGCAGTCGAGCCAAATAAGAGCTGCTCCTCGGAAGTTCGGTTTCTCCCGTGCTACAGCGAAAATATATTTGGCAATTTGGACGATATTCGGCAGAGGGTCGATGAAATTCGGCCGATGTCGTCCCGATTTCGATAGCAGTAATTTCATATTTGGCAGAGGTCCTTTCGACTTTGGCACGTCGAAAAGGCAACATTTTGGCGAGAGCGTGACATTAGTCTGCTGCTGCCAGTGCAAAGGAATTTGGGAATTTCCAAATGGAGTCAGATAGCAAGAAAAAGCTGCGACCATAAAAATAAACGGATTCCAAACAAGAGCGAGTCTCATCATCGTTTCAAAAGTTCTTCAAGGAGCAGCTGAGACACGCCCACACGGACTCTCAACGGCAGGCTGTATCTGACTCCTCCACCCCTTTCAACGTCCTTGCTAATAGATGCAATTCGAATTTGCACCATGTTGCTTCCTCACTGCTCCCACGTCCTAGACTGAAACCAGGTTGACAAAAGCAGGGCATTCGGTTCACCACATAGGATTAGCGGCCGGGCTATAGGAGGCCGGGCGCCTCCATCCAGCGAATTGAGCGACCATTGCGCTAATGACGAGTCGCTTCCGAGGGTTTGATGGACGAAGGCTAGAGTGCACCGAAACGATATAAATCGTTTACAAGTTAGACGTGTTTGAAAATGAAAAATATGGATCTAGATTCGATTTTGACTGCTTTTCCCCTTGAAAGTAATATATCCAAAAGGGAAAATCGATCAAGCGCATCGTTATCATGCACCGTTGCATATCTGAAACCTTCGATACCAATGAAGCAAACGAGAGACCTGCTTCCGGCCGATGGAGATGGGGGTCGTGAAGAGCGTCCAGACGACCACCTGGTCGCACGTCGGCGTCGTGAGCGAGCCATCGTACCGGTAGAAGCCGCTCAGGTCCTCCGGCATCCACAGGGTCAGCGGGGTGGGTCGGCGCATCCGACTCGCCGTGTTCGGCTGCTTCACGCGGCGCAACACTTCCACCAGGTCATTCCAAGCGGAGTTCGACTCCCCCGACACCTACATGGAGAGCACGGGGAACTTCAATCCCTCATCTGATTCCCGACAATATTTAAAAGAAAAGTTATCTCGGCTGTAACAAACGCTTGCATACAACCATTATGAATTTACTTGCTGACCCGTGGAAGACTTCCACGAACTTCGGGTTGGCCTGACCGAAGTACGTCATGCGCACCCCAACCCCCCTACCCACGGGGGTATTTACGTCTACGATACGGACTTTTCATGTAGGCCTATGAGTGAAAAATACAGACGGAGAAACGGGAATGGTTACGACGCGGCCGACGGTGTCCTCTTCTCGGCGCTCCTGTTCTATCCCATCCAGATGGGATCCCGCCGCTCATTTTGACATTCGAGACGTTTTGAGCCGATCATCAGCAGACGATGGCGTGTGCAGAGAGACTTCAGCTGGGTTTGTCCTTGGAATGGGGAGTACTTCCAGGTCCTATCTAGTACTCCTGGCAGGCTCGGTTCACCGCAGAAACAGGTTTTAACAGCTGTTGATGCTCTAGGGCGACCGTGCACCCCCTGACGAAGCCGGTCGAAAAGCGTAAAAAAATCTAGCCTAGAGAGCTTCGCTTTCTTTTCCGTTTGTAGCCTGCTCCTGCCTGAACCCCCTTATCTGCCTGGCATTTCAAAATAGTTTCGGTCACAATAGTTTCGTCACAATAGTGCCTGTCGGAGGGCTCGCGTGGGTGCTGGGCTGGAGCTGCTCGAGGGCTTGCCCTTCTCTCAGTGAATGGCCATCATGTTACCCTAGTAGCACATAACATTGAATTAACATTTATTCATTGTTGACTCAACATCCGGATGCTGAATCAACATTGAATTCATGTTGATTCAATGTTAAGCGCTACTAGGGTATATACAGTATATACAGAGATGTATAGATATTTTAGGAATTTCAATCACACGGAGACACAAGTCCTGCATGCACCAAAGCGGAAATATTTAACAATAGTTTATTCATCCAAATCATTCGCAATGCTAATTCATCCCTGCAAGATTTGCATTTCATCGCAAGGTACGCGTATTTAATCGCCTGGACTTGTGTCGAAAACCCCTTTTCGAGAAAAATGCTCCCCTATAAAGTCCACGAATCATCTGGAAACTATCTCTCCATCCAATTCCACAAATTCATCCATCGATTTCGTGATCGATCCTTTCACATTTATGTAATACGTATTTATGTAATTTATGCAATACGTATTTATGTAATTTATGTAATACGTATTTATGTAATTTATGTAATTTACCTGGAAGAAGAATCCGAGGACGGCGACAGCCGTGGGTTCCCCAGAGGCAATCGCCTCCGTCGAGTTCTCGAATTTCGTATTGTAGTGTACCATGTGCATCTCCATGGGAAACCTGAAAATATTTACGATTTCGTGACGGTAGGGGGTTTCAAGAGAACGCTTTACGAACATTAAGAAGCCACTACGGTTTTGACTGGGTTTCCGACCCGATAAGGGTCAGAAATACCAACCGAGGAGCCGTTTCGCTACGTTGGTGCTTGCTGGCGTCGACCTCAATATTTTGCGTTAGTCGTGCTCTCGTCGCTGGTCGGAGAGCTTCACTTTCGATCACGATTACAGCAAAGAGTTTGTCTCTTCCGAACTAATCAACGTAAGTTATGAATGCTATGAGCGTCAACAAAGTCATTTTCGAGTTTCGGCCCTGAGAGAGCACCATGTTTTGCGGAGCACAGAAAAGTCTATCACGTCCCTATCAAAACGTCCCCTCCTGCATCCACATGATTGAACAACCAGGTGGATAGGGGGGATTTGGAAACAGGTGGACGTCCCTTAAAGTGGAAATTCTCCTAGCCGTTCGCGCTCTGTATTTCTGGCCAGGTGGATTTTCCTTCCTGGGTGGATTTGCCCCCGGGTGAACATCGCTCGATTAAATGGAAATCCGCTTAGGCGGACCGGTTCCAAACCCAAATGGAAGGTGAACGTTTCGCAGGGGGTCATTTTCAGTTCCATCGGATGCGTAAACCAGAATAAGAAATCGAAAGTGCGTTTAAATTGTCCCTGGTGGGAGAGACCCACCTGGTCCCATGGAGGGTGTGCTCGGATCCCCGGTCCTCGGTGGAGCCCCAGTGGAAGTGGAGTCGGTCGAACGCGTATTCTCCAGGTAAACCGCCTCCGGACATGTTTGGGATCTCTTTCGCGGTGATCGAGACCTTGGCTGTGCAAGGGGAAGGAAGCCGTCTCGATTCGCTTCTTTCAAAGGATTCGCTGGAAAACGAAGAGGTCTCTCTGTCACGGTCGGACGACTCACCCATGTTCCCGTTGTTGACGACGTCGACGCTCTCCGGCGCGACGTCGTATCCCCGGAACGAGAAATCCCCCAGCTCGGCGTACGCGACCCCGTCCACGTCCACCGGGGACTGCCGGTCCCCTCCGCAGGTCGGGAACTCCGACGGCCAGCGCTCCGCACCTGCGGAAGTGAGGACGGCGCGCGTCGGAGTTCAGTTTCTTCCTACTCGTTGAGCGATATATTATTGTCAAAATGATTCCACGAAACGGATTCAAAGCTCGATCGCTTTGCTTTCGTCAAGGTCACATTGACAGAATCGTGTAACTAAGTAGTCGGGTAATTCTGTAAATAATTAAATAATATGTAAATGTTTTAGAGGTTGGGAGCTGTTGTAATCCTGAGAGAATCTCGTAGAAATTTTCAACTTAATATCCAAAGCCGCTTTGAAATTTCCATCGTCTCTGTTGATGGGACATCTTCGCAGTTAATAATTTCCCTGCGACGATCCTGAGATGAGATGATTTGCCGTCGAGGGTATGCAGACAAGCAGAGGCGAAAACAAGTGAAAACACGTTAACAGTTCCACGAGCGATTAAAGAGTCGATAACAATTATTAACAATTAGAATGACGGTTCTATAAATCACCTGATTGTCTGAACGCCTCACCGACTCGCTCTTGAAATTTCCCGGGATATTCGGGGTTGTCTTGTTTCTCTTTTTTTTTCCGGTTCCTTTCTTGTACGTGTGCGACTTCCATCGCGGAAAATGGTGCTTTATTTGTTTACTTCTTAAGATTATTTAAAAATAAAAAATAAAAAATCACAATTAGATGTGGTCAGTCCATGCTAATGATTCCAAACTTTTTTTTTGGGGGGGGGGGGCCCGCAGGATGACGTCATTCGGATGTGATCCTACAAGTCCTCTCCCCCTTCGATGGGGCTGACTGTCAGGGCAGTTTGTGGACTAGTGAGCTTAAGCATACATGCTGGAAATAAAATACTCGTTTCGAGAACTTGTCGAACACCCCTCGTAACAGTGTGACTTGCCCTGTCCGAGACAGTTCCTCGCGTTTCTCAAATAAGCTGGATTCGAAGGACGTACCGTTGTCTTCGTAGGTGAAGTCCGGTTCGGCGAGGGCCAGGGACATGGCGGCGACGGAAACTGAAACGGACAAAGTTTCCGAGTTTAATTTCCACGAGAACCCATCGGAGGACCCCCAAGCGGGCGGAGAAGGAAATGGTTGCGAAAGGTGCCATGATCTTGCGATAAGGAGTGCACGATATATATCTATATCTATAAGCAAGGATCTCTGTCTCTGTCCATCTGACGCTATGCATTCGGACACCGTTGGAGATATCGACCTGAAACCTTCGCAGGATGGTGGGGTCTGTCCAGTAGCAGGTTGAGCAGTGCTCCCGTCCCCGTCGGTCTGGCCGGACTTAGACAAATAAGCACTAACAAAAAAGCACATAAAAGAACAACAGCTATATTACTCCTAAAAAATATCCCGGGCAACGCCGGGTAACCCAGCTTGTATATACATAATCGCTAAAAGTCAGTCTATCCCGACCTACGTGCATCTGCAGGGCATTCCAGCTTTTGGATTCTTCAGCTAGAGCCCAAGGAGGAGTTGAGGCTTATCGAATCGTGCGACGAGGCGCGATTGCGCGCAATTTATCATTTTTCCATTATGAAAATACCGGACCGGTCTGGTCTGGTCTGGTCTGGTCCGGTCTGGTCCGGTCGCCGCTGAACCCGCTGAATTCAACTTCTCGAGAAAAAAAATTCTTGGATTGTGCAAATCCTAGGTTGACGATTCGCCCAGATGTTTAGACCTCGTCGCCCGCACATCCCGCCTAGAGTTTCCGTCTTCTATATGTGTCGATCGACAACGAATGACATGTACGCCTTAACTCGCTCATATAAAGGCCCCATATAAAGGTCCCATATGACTCACGCACGACGAGAGGCGATGCGAGCATGGCGGCGACGACTCCCCGAACCGGCACCGAATTAGACCCGACCCAGGCGACCCAGGTCCACACAGCCGTCAGACGGCCTTTAAAGTCCGAGCCTGCGACTCCCTCGTTCTTCGGCGGTCCGTCGCGCAGTGCAGCGGGTCTTTCTTCTTTCGCTTCCTTATCTGTCCCGATACGGACCTCGTGATGCACAGGGTGTGGCGAAAACGCTCGCAGCCGACAATTTTTGTAACTTTCCCTTCCCCTTGCCGACCTCTTTGAAATCTCGCGATGCCGTTGCAAGGCCACGAAGAACCGAAAACGTGGGTGGATGCCATCCGCCGTCCTCCCTTTGGTCCTCCCTCTCGCCCCGTCCTCCCCTTGGTCCTCCCTCTCGCTTCCACGTCTTCCCGAGAACGACAGCGCCAAGTTCTCTGTTAGAAGCGGACCGGGTCTAGCCAAACCCTCTAGACCTGTTTGGACTCTCCTAGGGCTAGGCAACATCGACGAATGTATTGAAGAATTCCAATGTCTTCCGCGGAAAATATCGAGTACTGTATCAAAATTATCGTGGGCTTGTTCCAGTTGCGTTCGAATGTGACTCGCCGTATCGACGATTCAGGCGCCATCTCGCATCGGTCGTGGGAAATTTTCTCAAATAATTGTTGAATCGCCCGTCCTTGCTCTTTTCCCTTCCTACATGATGTTGATATGTTGTGCATGGGTTTAATATTCACCAAGGGAGTCAACAGGAGGTCGAGACAAACGCTTTTCTGTGCCTGACTCGAAAATGACACGATGTACAATCAGGTTTCCAGTAAATATTTAATGAGGACGATCACCTGTGCTCATCGCATGAAAATAAGCTGTAATCGTCGAGTCAGACTCACAGGCAAAATAAAGACTGTTTCAGAAATCCTGTCACGTTTATATGATACAAGTAGAATATATTATATTTGCATATTATATTCTTAGCGAAAATTAATGTATGGGAAGAGGGTATCGCCACGAAAGCAGCAGACGGCGTTCAGATTACCCGTTGAAAGGAAAAAAAAACCACATGAGTAATCGACGTCATAAGCCGATTGAGAAATTATTTTTTCTACGAAAACATAAATATAAATGTCACTGGAGTTCAGGGACATCACAATCACAATATAGTCGACCCTTCAGGGTGAATAGTGGTCATGCGGTGCAAATGATGATATATATAATATATATGGTTATACAAGATGAACATGATACATCGCAAAAGCGCAGTCGAATGACGGCGCCTTTGCAAAATCGCAAGTCACATTGCAAGAAATTTGCGAATCGATTCTCAGGTTGACAGGGAAACAAGCAAGTGACACTCGCTGCTCGATCTTGAAGCTTAAAGTTATTATACATACCAAACAATACTTTGATAAAGGCAATGTGCACCCCGTAAAACATGCATTGCGGTGAAAACCGATATGTATGAACTGCTTATCGTACATCCCGCCGACATCCCGCCGTCGATTGCCGGCTGCCTCCGCAGGTCGGGAACTCGCCGCACCTGCCAAAAGCAAGGCCGCGCGCGTTTTGGTTGGATGTGGCGAGATGATGCGGGATCAAGTTCTGTTGTGTTCTCCGTGATGATGCTTCGCGGCGACGATTCCGTGCTATTGTCCGTTTCAGTTATTTAAGAAATTGAAAATAATATTTTTTTTCGCTTTGTTTTTTTTCTCGCCCCTTACTCTTCCCATAAACGCCTATATCCTATCAATTTTGTTCGTGTTTTCAGATTAAAGATTCGTTGATGCATTACGGAGATCGAGTAGAAAGAATGCAAGTTTACTCTTTATTTGGTCGTTCGTTTCTGAGATTGAAAACCGGGATTTTTCCCGGAATCCATGAAAAATATTCCTCGCTTTCAAGCACCTTACCTGTTGATCAAGTTTAAATTTAAATTTTTTTTAAACACAATCCTGGTGGGTGTGTAAGAAATATCCGAACCGTACCTGTGATTCCCATGAGAGCTACGTCTGCGGAAAGAAAATCCTCACGGCAATTCAAGGGACTTTTACGCCATCCCCGACGGGATTCTTAACGTTTCTATTGTTTTATTTCTATTTTTTAATAGAAATATTAGATCTCTGCGATTTGCGGTCCTGATTATATGTAAATTGGAAAATTTGAAATATCGTACCTTCCGCCGAAATTTGCCGAGCGGCACCGCAAAGTGCAATCCCGCAGACCCCGCACCTTTTCTAGACTTCACACTCAGAGAAATCGGTAAATCGAGATGAAATACTTCTCTCAATTTTCGCGTTTATGCGGCAGAAGCGCATAATATACCTGACCTATACACAAATTAATGCATTTTCGTCTAGAAAAAAGTTGTCCTCCATGTGACGCGATAAAAACGCATCCGACATTTGATGCGATAACCGCATCCAAAATTCGATGCGATAAAGACGCATCACTTGCAGGACGGATTTTTTCGCGAGAAAAATGCATCGAACCGAATTTTCTGTATGTAGGAATCTTCGGGTGATCTCAACTTTAATTATTGGACTAAACTTGAAGATGAATTCCGTCTTTCACGAAGATTTTTTTGCACATGTGGCAGTGCCAAGGGGTTTCATGAATTACAGGCTTCGATACCGTCTGAATTGGGCGATCTGTGGCAACTTTCCCTCAATTTAGCCCGAATTTCCGCGCAAGCACGACGTACAACCACGATCAAAACGCAGACGAAGAAGGCGCGTACAATTATTCTCGTGCGTGAATTCGCGTTGAGCAGCCGTGAAGGAGACTGAAACTACGGCGAATGAAACTGAAACAGAGAACGGTCAGGAGATAATTCGGAACGCTAATAGAGACTCGTATGGACTTTGCATGCAAGTCCATATTTATTTTAAAGTCAACAAGGCTGCAGCCTTGTTGACTTTAAAATGAATAAGAACATGACACGTCCTCAGCAAATTTGGTGAGACTTCATCATGTGATTCAAGATTTTTTTCCCATCATACTCGGCAGACTCAGACTGACGCAAAACAAGGGAAATTCTACAAGAACGTCGAGCAAACTCTCTGGATTGATATCCATTAATCCATCTGCTATTCATAAGGAATCAGTGCACGAAAACCATCTGCAAGAGGCAATCAGCACCCTGAATGAATTCAAACGGAAGAGGAGGCCGACAAGGAGGGACGGCGCTCGCCCTCCACCTCCAGAGGCACGTAACATCGAAACAACATCCATCCAACGTTGATTAGATGTCATGGGCTATTGGGGTAGCAATAGGTGCTCTTGTCCATTCTCAATCAATTTATGCAGGTAATATTGATTCGACTTGACAGATTCGAATGACATTCTTGCGAATCAGTTGGGAACATACCCATATATGCTAAGTGAAAGTTTCACGAAACTAGCTCCGGTATGAGCGGAAATATTTAGGCCAAAAGTCGTTGGTCATTTTTTTTTTGGTCATACCCTGTATACAGTTTGTATTGGACTGTGTGTCAGTGAAATTAAGTTCCGGTGTAATGATAAGTTTCTGTGCTTTATCTTTTGGTCATGGCAAGATTTGTTTTGGTTTGCGCGGCTTCTCGATCACCCTGTACTTGCAAAACCCGATTGACGTCAATTTTACCGCAATAAAGGGTGTATGGTAAAATCGTTGAGGAAAGCGAGAGGCATTACCGCCATATATCGGTATCATCGGAATTTATTTGAACGCTCCTCCCACGATTGTTCCATGTCTTGGCTGTGTTTTGCTCTAAGTCTTAACCGTCTAGTCTAGTTCTTAAACCGATGGATCATGTTGAATAGGGCCTTCCGATCGTTCCTCGGTTGGACGGGTCGGAAATTGTTCGTCAGCTTGCTGCCCGTCTTCGTGATCAGGTAGTTCCACTGCTTCAACTATACATGAGAAAAAACTTCATGATTAATATTTAAAAAATATGCAAAAACCAAAAATAGGCCTAGTATAGTTGGCATCCCAAGATCATATCATAAAATAATTTTTCCTTTTTAATTATAAATACGAGGGGTGAATAAAAACAACAGTAGAGGCAAAGGAAGGAAAAGATTTTCACCCGCATGGATCCTGAGTCCCATTCCAAGTTAAATCACCCGATGGGACACGGATTTTTACGGTGGACCCAATCGGAGTTTGACAAAAATGGTGGGTGGGGTTCTTTTAGGGAAAGAAAAAGATTTCCCTCCTCCCCCCCCCCCCCCCCCCCCCTCTGTTAAGGAGTTACGCTCACGAAATTTCAAAAGCAGAGCTTGATCTCCCGTGGGAATATGGTATGAAGTTATACTCCGATTTCGATTGTCAAGGTGTCCTTTAAAAGGGAACTTGGGAGATACCAAATATATAGTATAATGAAAACAGAGATTCAGGAATATTCGAACACGTACCCACGTCTGAATAATTTTCATAAGTAAAAATAACCTCCTGAATCCGGAGCCTACCGATTCACTTTTGCAATCGATGCACATATATATAAGCTAGAGTATACCAAAGTTTAATTGCAATTTTGTATTATCCTTTTTACAATTATCACGGAGGCACGTTATGTCCATTCGCACCTGGAAACACTGATGGTGAAAATGTAAAACATATTTTGTTTAGATTGTGGTAGGGTAATTTAGAATACCCCGTACGGAAAATTCCCATGGGAATTTTTGGTACCGGAATCCATTTTCATTTTTTATTGAAAATTCATTCATCAATAGTCTTGTTAATAAATCCTTTCATGAGCAAGATATTCTATGAAAAATTACTCCCTTGGCTTGCTCACTTCTTCTAGGCCCCCCTGAGAATACGTCCCTTCGCAGGAAGATATGCATCAATATTTTTCCTTTTTTTCATGGAAGGCGAAGGTAGTCTGAACGGAGACTAGAAAACTTTTAGATCAAGTTGACCCTAAAGTCAATCCGTCCGAAGGGACAAATCATATTTCCCCATCGCTACTCACATATGCTCAAAATTAGTATTAGACTCTGGTCTGAAAAAGCAAGAAAGACACCTGTTTCTGGCCGATCGGGATGGGGGTCTCGAAGATGGTCCAGACGACCACCTGATCGCACATCGGCGTCGTGAGGGAGCCGCTGTACCGGTAGAACCTCCTCAGGTCGCGGGGCATCCAGAGGGTCAGCGGGGTGGGTGGGTTCACTGGGCTTACCGCGTCCTGCGCCTTCACCTGGGCCAGCGCTTTCACCAGATTATCCCAAGCGCGGTTTGATTTCCACTTCAACTGCACGGGGAGCATCAAACATTCATCAGACTCCCAGCAAGATACAGAGAGACAGGGATCCCAGCATCAAGAATACCATGATTTCGAAGCCATGATTATTTCATGCATACGAGGGGATGTCAAATAATAAGGTTCCCTTTTTTGTTACACAAAACTATCAGAGCTCGCAAAATAATAAAATTGCTTGAATAATTTTGGCAACTATGTTGAAACATAGTTGATGTACTCGTATTTGTTCATCACATAATGTCTTAGTTGCTAACATAAATAAGTTTGGAGCAAAAAATTAGGGAACCTTATTTTTTGATACTCCCTCGTACATACCCATCTATTTGGTACTTGACTCTTCCATTTTTATGTCAAAAATTACCTCGAAGAAGAATCCAAGGACGGCAACAGCCGTTGATTCTCCTGAAGCAACCGCATCCGTCAAATTAGCAAACTTGGAATTGTAGTGGACAATGTGCATCTCCATCGGGAACCTGTAAAAATAAAAAAGAATATAGAATATACGAGATGTATATGTATATGTATTTATTGGCTATATGTAGACAGCTTCATGCAATGCATGATTATGCACTTCAATATCGATCATGAACAGGTTCTTGTCCTGACCAGGAAACCACGCTTTATTCCTATATAGTACTTCCATTTATATCTAGTATCCCGACTAACGGGTGTCGTTTCAGTTTCTTGGCACCGCAGAGTGTTGCCTTCAGTCTCCAGTCATGAACCCCCATCTAAAGCGGCGAAAGAAAAGCACATCGAACCCGGAGATGAGAAAGACTCACTTGGCGCCTCTAAGGGTGTGCTCGGATCCCCATTCGGGGGAGGAGCCCCAGTGGAAGTGGAGGTGGTCAAACACGTACACTCCCGGTAAGCCTCCTCCGGCCAGCTGCAGGGTCTCAGCTGTCTTCAATGTTACCTTGACTGGAGAAGTTGAGTCGGTTTCTTTGTGAAATCAACCTTTCACTTAGGAAATGTGCCGCTGGTTTCAACGTTGAGCTGTTGTCAAATGCGAGATTTTTTCTGATTGCTTGATATTAAAAGTTTCGTCATCCTGACCTCGTACCAGATGAAAAATATGTAAGAAATATTTTCAGTGGGTGTGTGAGGACACTCAACCATTGGGATTTCAGAGACTATCTTCCATTCACGACATTTTAATATCTTGGAAATGTCATAATAGAGGAATATGCTGGCCTCTTGCTTTAGAAACGACGAAGACTTCACAAATACCTGGAGACCGAATGTCAAGTTTACTACTGAACCGGTCGTGTGACTTATTTGTTGCATATACCACACTTTGGAATATCGTATCGTATCGTATCCCTCACCCGTATGTCCATTGTTGGTGACGTTGACGCTCGTGGGCAGTTGTCCGTAGCCCCGGAATCGAATATGTCCCAGCTTGGCACTGCTGAAACTGTTCAAATCGATTGGGGATTGCCGGCTGCCTCCGCAGGTCGGGAACTCCGACGGCCACTTCGCCGCGCCTGCCAAGAGCAATGTCGCGTGAGCTTTGGTTGAATGTCTTGAAATGGAGCGAGATGGATTCAGTTGCATTCTCCGTGATGATTTTATGCGCTGAACTGTAAAAAGTATGTACTAATCTGTCTTTGTAATCGGTGAACACGTTCAATCTCTGTTGGGTTGCCTGCATAATTGTGATGTTCCCTCGAATCCGAATGCCAAATCATCTCGCTCTTTGTCAGTCATCTGTTATGGTAGCTAATTTTCACGAAAATGCGAATTTTCCCAGAATCTTATATTCCATGGAAAATTTTCACCTCAGTACGATCCCGCCGGTGTAGTACGCGAATCTGATTCCTGTCAAAACCGACAACTGTCTTTCGCGTTCGCAATTGTGGCTGTCGTAATCAATTTTGCGTCGCTGACTTTACTACCGTAGTCCTTTTGGCGTTCGCCCATTCTACTATGGTAGTTACATCAGCGTACGCAAATTTTACTACGCTCACGCCAAAATGACTCCTCTATGAACGATTCCATGTTTACATGTTTTATTTCTTTGACACCAATGAGGTCGTTTCAGTTTTCCAATTGCTATCACATTGGAGGCCGATGTCTGTATTTTGTTTCCTCCCCCTATCTATCTGGCGGGTCGAATCGCTCGGGCCAGCATCGGGGCCTCCTCCTCCTCTATCACAGTGACACTTTGCTCTTCGCCCTCCAATGTCCTCGCGAGCTCATCTCCTCCACGCAATTCAGACCGTTGCTCCAAGTTACCGCTGTGGGCTTCATGTTCTTCACGGACTCGGGGTACTCGTGGTACGTCGCGATCGACTCGTAGCCGTCTCTCCACAGATGCGTTTTCTTCGCGCGAGAACCACCGAACTGGTGCAACCGTACTCTCTATGCCCGTCCTTTTTTGCTTCGATTCCTGTACCGATAAGTATCTGACAGATCAGGTCAAGGTTTCAGGGAAGTGGTCTAGCCTGACCCTGGAGGCACGACTGGAAAAGAGATCGTGCCTAGAACCTATAACCCATTGCAAACAGTATCGGGTCGCAGTAGTAATTTTTGCATGACAATTGTGTGTCCCGCGTACGCGGATTTTACTACGGTAGTGCTTTCTACGGGGTGGTAAGTTTCGCGTCTTCTAAACGCTAGTAACCTTTGGAAAACATCAAATTCAATTAGTTATCTAAACTAGAAGACATGATTCCGTATTTCTCAAAGATATTCGCACATCAACAGTGCCAAGGCTTTCATAATTACATCTTCAAATACCACCTGAATCGTTTCGGACTGCGCCAACTCTTCCTCCAATTTTCTCGAAGACCGACTCACCATTATTCTCGTAGGTGAACTCGTGCTGAGCAGCCGCGAAGGAGACAACCGAGCAGGAGACAACCGAGCAGGAGACTGAAACAGAGTCAGGAGACAATTCGGAACGCGGCAGAGACCGCTGCTCCTTCCAAGAAAGGCTCATCTTAATGCGGCAGATTACCAATAAACCTTATATAAGGAAGGAAACTAATTCATTATTGAAAGAAAAGCCAATCCCTTCTCCCCTCCCTTTTTTTCACTCATAAGCCTTTTTATCATGCAAAATGATCGATTCTTGAGATTTCCTTGTCAAACTGTCTCGAGTCGATTTCTCGCAAGTGAATGCGTTTCTCCTCTGCGCCGAAGAACCCTTCAAATTTTGAGGTGGCCAGAATCATTTTGAAAGTTGTTTTTATGCTCTTTTTTTTTTTTAGAAGCCTAGGGGAGGGAGAAATTCAAGAAGCCTTCAAGTTTCGATTATCCATTTTCGAACAATAATTATAAATAATAAAAAAACACATTGGATGATGCAAGGAATGTCTTTTATGACTTTCCGAGGTCGTGGCTTGGGATTTAGAGACGCCGAGACGCGAAAAAGTCACGTTCGCAATGGCAACAATGGAGACAGCGAAAAAGAAATCGACACGATGGGTTACCACGGTAATATTTATATAAAAAAAAAAAGTTCTTTTAACCGATCCGTCACTTTCCACTGAAAAATTTAGAACTCCAAACTCACGGATGACAAGGAGAGACGATGCCAGCACGATCCCCATAGAAGGAAAGTATTTTTCTAATATATATAACATATAACAATAAATAAAGGTGATTCCCCCGTCATGCAATAGAGACTGCGGATCCAGCCGGCTTGGACTCGGACAACCGAAGCATTTATGATCCAGCTTTTCTCCACGCCAATGAAACTTCCCCGCGCGTGCCAGCAGCTGGCCTTCCTCGCGAATTGCCACGTTCCGGCTCGATATCGCAGCGATATCGGCCGCTTTGCTGCCTGAAAACCGTCGGCTCAGGCACGCCGACTGTCTCGATTAATTATCCGAAAACCGAGGAACGCGAATCGTCTTCGCTATGATGCAGTGCTTATATCGCTCTTCCGCTTACAAAGTTATTCGGCGACTCGGGCGGCATTTACCGTGGTCTGATGACCATTTTTTTTAATTATTTGCATGAAAATGTGTAAAGGGTGCTGATCAAATTTGCATGCTCTCATTCGCAAATTCGCATGCCCTCAAATCAGGTTGAGATGAGGGAAAGAGGACCACGGCGATACCGTCACTTGCTCCTGCGATGTTCGCGGTGTTCGCGACGTTCGCCTAGCGAGCCGTCTACATTCCCGAACATCCCAGTGCCAAAAAACGAAGGTGACGGAATGGTATTCAAGCGACCTATAATAAATTAAAGGGCATCCGTGAGTCCTTTAATCGATGCAGGAAATTTCAATGTGACCCCAAATTTTGATGGGCGAACGTTTACTGAGTTCTCGGCATCCGAGCGAAAGGCTTCCTCATCGAAGCACGAATTCATCCAATACTTTTGTGCGAAAAATGCATCTATACTTCCCCCCAAAACACTCGCCGACGAGGAATGGAAAACTGCATCGCATCCAGCAATTCGGGAAATTAAAAACACGCGCCTGCATTTCCCCTCCGCGTCTGGCGTTTGTATCCGCACGCGCCACTCTCGAGCCCATTCGCGATGGCTCGAACGCGGAATAGGGGAAATGAAAAACTGCATGAAAAACGGCATGAAAAACTCCATTAATATTTGTATTAGCTGTTGCTGATTTTTGGCGATCAAGGGAGTCTTGCATCCAGCAGGTCCGTCTTGTTTCATTTTCCTAACTTGGATTTTCTCCCACGCAATCGAATTCCCTTGTCGCGTCTGCCTCTCTAATTTCCACGTCTGACTTGGAAAACCGATCGATCGATCGATCGATCGATGAACGTGGGATTCCCGATGGGAAGGGGATACGGAACGGTCGATGCTTTTCTCTGCTTTTCGGTATCACTTCCCTAATTTTCTCTCTTCCACGTTGGAGGGAGCCCGGAAAATATAGTTGTTCCCTCTGGACAAACGAACAGATAAATTAGTGCCTGGGAAAGGAGAGGAGGAAAAGTTAGAGAATTGCAGGAAATGGAGTCTTCTTCAACGAAGGCAGCTTGTTACAGGATCAGGTTACAGGTTACGGGTTACAGGTTACAGGTTACAGGTTACAGGTTACAGGTTACAGGTTACAGGTTACAGGTTACGGGTTACAGGTTACGGGTTACAGGTTACGGATTACAGGTTACGGGTCACAGGTTACAGGTTACGGGTTACGGGTTACAGGTTACGGGTTGCAGGTTACGGGTTACAGGTTACAGGTTACAGGTTACAGGCTACAAGAACACCGTAGATTCTGAAATTAAGTTCTTTTGATTCATATTCATGCAAGATGGACAAAAAGAGAAGCGGAAAAGCAGAGAACATCAATTTGGGTGGTAATGGGTGCGATTCCAAGATTTGGATGATCCAAGGTATGCTTTTTATTTCTTTGTTGGCAGGCGGAGGTTATTTATTTAAACAAAAGTGTTTCATGGCTTTCGGAGGTCGTGGTGTGCGTTTGAAAACTGTAGAGTAATTAACAAGTTTCTTTATTAAAGGTCATTAAGGTCATAGAGACGTTGTAAATGATATCGACAGAACGAGTAATCAAGATATCACTGGAAAATAAAATTATTTAATAATGATAATAGATAAAATGATGATCTGCGGAACGGTTTCGAACCCCAAACTCAGATGACAAGAACAGGCGATGCGGGCTCGATTGCCATTAGAGGAGAGTATTGCTCCCTAACTAAATGGTAAATAAAAGGTGCTTTGATGATTACCACGCCATGCGATAAGGACTCTGAACGACTCGATCGGCATAAAAACGGCTGGAGCATTCTGAATCTAGGTTTGTTCCTGCGCGAGCCAATCGCCTTTCTGGTACTAGTACCGGCTGGTTATCCTCGCTAAAAAAAGTACCGTCTGTGTGCTTCAGGAACCCTAGGATCCCGAAACCTCTGGTTTTTACTTCAAATGAGGTATACCGACTGCCTCAGTTGATTATTCTTCGACAGAGAATACGAATCGTCCTCGCGATATCGCAGTACTTATGAACCTACACTGTCAAAAACAAATGTTCTTGAGCGAAACCTTCAAAAAAATTATTTGCATGGAAGAACTGAAACTGCTTAATGAAGCAACTAACTAACCGGGCTCTGGCACGAATGGCATTCACGCGACCCGACTTCATTGGACCACAGGGGTAGCGTGTACAAACGGATTTTTCTGAGCAGGAAGTTTTAAATGCCCGCATCTGCGGATCCTCTCTTGGCGAATTTCGTCCAGTTTTCACAAAAGCTGTCACAAGGTACACGAGCGTGTGACAAAATGTCACATCCTTGGCACACCCTAAATGATGCAGGAAATTCCAAAGTAACCCAAAATTTTACCGACCCACCATTTAGTATTTTCTCAGTGTTCTCTCCTTAGTCAAGAGTCAAGTCAAGAGAGTTAATGATATCAAGAGGCGATTTCGCCCATTTCGATATCACGTGTCGAAGTCGAGCGTTCCTTAATTTTAGGGTAGGCCTAACCCTCTTTGACCTGAGCCGCACCTGCGGTTTGCGCAACTCAAGTCGGTTACCTCTCGTTCTCTTGCTGTCATCAGACTGGAAAAACCTACCACACTCGACATTATCTTTTCCTTTAATTATCTTGAAAGCCTGGATGAGATCGCCCCTCCTTAAGTAGTAAAAGCCTCCTCATCCAAGCAGGCATCCCTCTAATATTTTGTCCCAGGAGAATCTAACTTGTATTTTTCCCGACACCCACCAAAGAGTGAAAATGCGGAAAACCTCGGCAAGTCGAGCAACATGCGGAAATTCCAGAAGGTGTCTGCATTCCCCTCCCCGTCTGCCGTCTGCATCCGCACGCGCCGCTCTCGAGCCCGTGCCATTCGCGATGGCTCGAGCCCGTGCCATTCGCGCCGCTCTGGAGCCCGTGCCATTCGCGATGGCTCGAGCGCGAGATAGAGACACTGAGAGGAACATTTTCGTCCATTTCGATTTTGATTTCGATCTTCCGAATGGAGTTTTACTTGGCAGCTATCTTGGACAAGTTTTTTTTACTTGTAATTTCACTTGCTACCGTGCTACTGTCGGGTACATGAACTGTTTTTGAAAGCACTTGGGGACCATTTCGAGCTGTTTCCAAGAGATAGCACAAGTCCTTGAAGATCAACTGAGATTGAAGAAGTTCATTGATTTTTATTATTATGAAAGTCGAGCATACGATACTCTTTTAAGACGGCGGTAAGAGCTGTAGAACACCAAAGCAATAAAAGCGAGAATCCCAGTGGTCGAAGCGATGTAAATGGCGATCCTGGACGATTTTGCGCATTCTCGGAAGTTGCACAGGATCTCCCGGCCGTTGCGGGGTTGGGTGGGCCGGAAGTTGTCCGTCAGCTGCTTGTCCGTTTTCGTCTTCGATTTGTTCCATTGTTCCAGCTGCACAAGAGCAATTTTCCATGATGAAATTCTTGGACTAAAACACATAACCTGGAAGTTACGTCTGCAGGAACACTTGAGATAATTTTAAGTAAGACAAAATAAATGCTGACAACCGTGATGCAATGAAAACATGCCACTCGAGCTCGTCGCCCATCCGCAAGTCGTTCCAGTGGCTCCAGCGAGCCCCGCGTCGATTCAACCGTCATGGGAGTCACATATTCGGCAGTGAAAATGTGTTTGGCCAGCCGGAGGTGTCATACCATCGTGTCCTTCTCCCCAAATACGATTTCTTTCGCAAATGCTGTCAATACGAGCAGCAGTTCTGGTCTGGATCAGATGTCCTAACGAGAGGCTCCGACATAAGCCTTACTTCGACTGCACCTTTTCCTTCTCATTTTTGTGTCGAAAGCTCTTCTCCTTCGCTAAGCGCTTGTCGTCTTCCTTCTCATGGGGTCTTTCGTGAGAATTCAAGTCGATCTACTATTTAGGAAAATGTTCAATACTAGTCGATGCCAACAGTTGTAGCTCGTGCTTGCTTGGCTCCATGCAAGTTGTTCCATGTTCCAAAGGTTTCACTGTAGAAACAGACATGGTTCCAACTAGAACTTTTATATTTTTTTGCAGTGTGGGAACGAGTTGAGTAATTACTTATTTTTTGTGCGCTTTAAAGTCTCCTCAACATGAGCAACTATCTCGTGAAAATCGCAACATCATAAATGAATTCATTTTCTCATATGTGTTGGCAAAATTATGTTCGATGTGAACTTATTCCCAACTATAAGTTTCCTTTGAGTCAGCAAAGTACCCTAAGATCAAACTTTTCGCGGAACTCAAGACTGAAAGACCAAGAAAGAGACCTGTTCCCGGCCGATGGGGATGGGGCTCGTGAAGAGCGTCCAGACGACCACCTGGTCGCAGGTCGGCGTCGTGAGCGAGCCGTAGTACCGGTAGAAGCCGCTCAGGTCCTCCGGCATCCACAGCGTCAGCGGGGTGGGCGGGGACACCAGGTGCTCTGCGTTTTGCACATCCATGTGGCCCAACGCTTCCACCAGATTACTCCACTGATTGTTCGGCTCCTCCGACACCTGCGCGAAGTGAACATGGACGTTCAACTGTACATCAGACTCCCAACAGCATTAAAAAAAAAAGAATTCAAGAATCCCATTGTAACGAATGTTGCTGCAATTGTTGCTAATGATCGCATTATCAGAACATAAAATATAGTGAAATGCAAATAGGCAATATGAATTATAGAGGAAAAGTTTTCCATTTGACAATGATTTTTTCGTTCGCGGTGCTAATTCATTCCTTTAAAATTTTGCTTAAATTGAACAAGTCGAATCAACACATAAAAATGTTTTGAACAATGGGGAATCTCATCGACTAAACGTATCCTCCAATGTAAACAACGCTCTCATGGAAAGTCCACAAATCATCTAAAAGCTAGTATTTCATATTTATATCAATAGATTCGATACTTTTCCGCTTCGTACTTATGGACCGCGTACCTCGAAGAAAAAGCCGAGGACTGCGAGAGCTGTCGGTTCCCCTGAGGCAATCGCCTCGGTCAAACCCAGGAACTTTGCATTGTGATGCACCATGTGCATCTCCATCGGGAATCTGGAAAATAATGAGGCAAAGGGACAGTGGCGATTCCTAATAATGTATAAAAAGTTCCCAGTCAATTTAGGAGTCGTTTCACGGCGCCCCTAAGCGTTGGCATCAGCCAAAATTTTGCTTTGGTGGTGGTCTCGTCGCCGGTCGGGGAGTTTGGCTTCTAACCACGATTACTGTGAATATTCCTTCTCTTTCGAACTAATCAGTGTTAGACAAGAATTATTTGCAGGCCGACAAGGTATTTCCTTGGTAGCACACAACTTTGGGCCCACGTTGGCTGTGGGGAAGCAAACAAAAAAAAAAAACAGGGAGAAGGAGTTTCAAATTTTCTGAAACGATTCTGTGTTCAGAGAGGAAGAAGCATGCCAAAGCGAGCTGTACCTCCATCTAGTGGCTTGGAGAACTTCAACATTCCCCAAAAACTTCCAAGTGCGGTCGGGCACGTTGGATCATCGTGTAGGTCCAATATTGGATCGATGATGGAATGGCAATTTGGGGGAGGCAATATTTAGCCTATATTGGCAATATTGCTTAAAATGTAGCCAATGTACCCAATATCGGTCCAGCATTGAGCCAATATCTGGTGCTACTGCCCCACCCCATGGCGTGGGACATGGTAAATGTGGAATTCCAACATAGGTCCAATGTTGGTCCAACGTAGGTGTACTGCCGGGGAAGTTAGGGAACTCTGCCCCCGATTGGAAGTGCTTGTGCATCGTGAACCCCAAGACGGTACCAACCTGGCCCCATAGAGGGTGTGCTCGGAGCCCCGGTCCCCCGTGGACCCCCAGTGGAAACGGAGCTGGTCGAGCACGTACTCTCCAGGTAAGCCTCCTCCGGATATCTTCGGAACCTCCGAAGCAACAACCTGCATCTTCAGTTCCACCGGGACTGTGCGGGGTGAAGGAAACTGGCTGGATTCGTGTTCAAAGCTTTCTTCATAAAATACATTTTTCCCGCTGTCCTACCAGGACAAATTTCCTCTTATCCCTTATTGGACCAAATAACTTTGACTCAACTATTTTTTTTATCCCCGAGCTGACATCTAGGCATTCATTAACTTGTTTTATGGAGTCTTAATGCGAGGAGTATCAATTAACACGTTCACTGCTAAACCAAAATTCATATCGGTTTGCACGACGACACGAGTCACCGGTGACTCATGTCTCAGTGAACGTGTTCAGATGCAAAATGGGGCATTGGGGTTTATCGACAGATGCTGAATTTCGCCTTGAAAGAGGGATACATAATGGGTTCTTGACAGGATGAATCCCCCAGCCTGCTGCCTTAGAAAACGCGGCGTAAGAAAAAATTAGGACTGTTCGGAAAGGCGAGAGACGTTAACATCAGATGCATTATATCGCCTTAACAGGTAACTGTCTCACCCATAGTTCCATCGTCGGTGAGGGAGACGACTTCGGGAGGAATATTGTAATGCTGGAACTGGATGTGTCCTAGGTCGGCGAAGGTGACGTCGCCCACGTCGACCGGGGACTGACGGTCCCCTCCGCAGGTCGGGAACTCCGACGGCCAATGCTCCGGTGCGGAGGTCGCGACAGCGTGGTTGGAGTTCAGTCCAGTTCATTTATTCTCAGAGAACAGCCGTTCGGTGAACACGCCAGCGATCCTTGCATGTATTGCCATAATAATACCAGTATATCTACGTACCTACCGAAGGGATTCAATGCCTTCAAAGTCAATGTCTTCAAAACAGAATTAGGCGAGTATGAGGTCTGGGATGTGGTTCATCCCCCCTCATATCTCCNGGTCTGGGATGTGGTTCATCCCCCCTCATATCTCCAATACCGGCAGGTGCCGTGGAAGGATTTATATATATATATATATATATATATATAAGAGAGAGAGAGAGAGAGGGGGAGAGAGAGATTTGCAAAGAAATAGAGTGAGATAAATTTTTTACATCCATTATTTTTTCTCATATAGAAACTTTCTCATATCTTCTAGTCTTAATCCTGAGGGCCGTCCTTTAAAGGAGTTGATTATCGTTTCACGAATAGGTTTCACTTGTGTTCCCTGAAATATCTTATTCACGGCGTTCGATCTCGTTTAGTTCGTGCTTTAAACACAAACGAAGACCATTGGTCCACATGCCCTTAATATTCACCGCGAATCTGGGAATGTCTTCGTTCGCTTCCATGCTCTTTCCAATCGCAACATTGACTTCAGAAAACGTTCTTGGCCTCGTTTTCTTAGGGCCTTAAAAAAAAAAAAAACCTTTATTTGCATGCGAGAATATTCTGTCTATCCACATCATTCCAATTCTCCCTCGGTGACTTCCGCGCTGGAAATCCTTATGGGAAATCTTCGAGAAATCCTGGATGGTATTGGAGAGACACGATCTCTGATTGAATCTCAAACGGCGTAACCGTCTCTAACGACGTAAATCAGTGCGACAGTGAGGATCTCACTGCTAAGATTCCCGTTGTCGCGCCGCTCCGATTCCCACTATCCCGAGCCGCTTCGATTCCCACTATCCCGAGCCGCTTCGATTCCCACTATCCCTTTCATCCCGCAAGAACCTTCTCCGGGATGACGCGATGCCATCCTTCTATCCCGTCCCTTGATGGGACTGTCTGTTAACTTGGCCAAGTGTGGACCTGGCGACGAAATTCTGCTCATTCGTGAGGGTGATCCTTACGACAATCATGCCCACGAGACAGGCCTCAATGTTACTTAAGTTGCGCTGTCTGCGACAAGTTCTTGTGTTCCTCGACTTTCCGCGCTCTCTGACTTGAACAAATCATTATGTTTAGATTTTAGGAAGGACTTACCTTTGTTGTCGTAGGTCGTAATTCAGGTTCATTAGCTTTCAGGGAGACTTCGGGGAAGGAAACTGAAACAGAAACTGCGAAGGAAACTGTTTGTGAGTTGGATTTTGTTTGGACGTAGCAATAGCGACTAATGATATTCTTGCCATAATTGACTTATTCCAACGATATGCAATGGATTCGCAATGTAATTATCATTTATTTCCAGTGATTTATGACCCTCTCCGCAAGTGCACAATTTTTTGCCGATACCGCCAACGAGAGAAAATATAACAAAGAAGAGATAAACGAATCGTTAAAAAAAAATTCTCTTCTCCATCTCTTCTCCTTCTCAACGAGCATTCCGCGGAGCGTTCCAGATTATCAACTCTCCAGCGAGAAATTCATCGAATTCGGTGCTACAGCGGGATTGCATGCCAAACGTCATTCATCCGGTGACCATTTCGCTGGTCGAATTCCATTTGTCGACTGAAAATCGCCAATCGATGATGCACCGACTTGCAGTCCGCCGATGGCCCGATTCACCGGATTAAACCGACATGTGATGGAAGAAGAACGCGCGACCGCGGTAATGGAAAGCCGGATTGTCGGATCTTGTCGCATTTTTCTCGAGCCGACTGGGCCTGCCTATAGAATTTCAACCCCTCATTTATGATAAGCAATGATAAATGCGATAAATCTTACTACATGTTCGCCTACCCGAGCCTGCCTACCCTGAGCATTGGTCATATATGACCAATTCGTCATATATGACCAATGCGAAGCACTGTACTCCTTGAACTTCTTGAGCCAGCGCTTACTCTGGTCTGTTAGACGACTTTCTCCGTTGCATATACTCAATGGCCCACGAGCCCTCGATCTTCATCGTTGACGGAAACGAGAAACTTTAGAGTTCCCACTACGGGGGTCGCGTGACTCACGGATGACGAAGAGAGGCGCCGCGTGCATGATAGCAACTCCACTCAATCCCTCCCGAAGCGAATCGGATCTCCGATGGATGGCAGTGGATGACACTGGAGGTCCCTGCACCAGTTCGATGGAGGAGCCCGTTCGACTAATCTAGATTTGCCCCTGCGCGCTTTCTCATCCCTTGACGGTCCCTTGTGCAGCGACTCTCGGTGCGACCGATGGCTTGGTTTTTCCCACCCTTTCATTCAACAGGGGTATGCAATTCGATAAAAGGTGGCGCGACACCAAACTGTGACGATAAAAAGATTGCAGGAACAGAGCTTTTATAGTGACAGTACTTCTCTCAGGATAAAAAGTTAATGCACAAAAATAGAAAGATTCCTTCCCACTGCGATAATTTCGGCAAGCTGGATCTCATCTCGCCAAATAAAAGATTGGCTGCTCCATGCTGTGCTATTCCTCGCTTGGATCCTCGTTTTCGGCTTGTGGTGCGGGGATGCGGTACCCGTTTCTAATTCATGTTTAAATGGACTCTCGACCGCGAAAAGCGTTCACTGCCTCGTACAAGGATTACATGCATGTCTGGTACTGTCAACAATCCTGTAGATATAGATAAATGATAAATGGAGCCATTATCTATATGGACTCGACTCGTGGAAGGTTTTCCTTCCTCTGCTCCTCCGGTTTGAAGAGCATCGTACCACTTCAGGTCTTCCGGTCGATACGCATTTCTTGTTTTGGAATCAGGATCTGCGGACTCTTGCTTTGTTTCGCTAGATGTGGAAGATCACACATTTTTCTTCTCCGTTTTCCTACTCAATTGGCAATTTGGGTGTCGGGCAAGCCCATTAAAAATTGGTCGATTCGAAGGTTGGAAGGGAGTTGGCAGATCTGCAACGGGAAATTTGCGGTAGGAATTTGCTTGGGTCTGAATTTTGCCATGAAAGACTCACCCAAGAAGCTTTCCATTTGTGGCGGTATAGGTTGAGATGCGGATGAGATGTGGTTACTCGCAGGCAATTTCGGATATTTGCGAATTTTTTGCGGATACGGATCGGATTCGATTATCAACAAGTTCAGAAAAACATTGAACATATATATTTTTTAATCTAAAAGATTCCGTATAGGTCCTAATCCAGATTATAGACTTATAGTTGGTTCACGGAGATAAAATGCGACCAACGACCGTTGCTTGATTGCAGAATCGGAGGAATTGTCTTTTTGACCTGCGCTGCTGACCAATGTTTCGATTCAAGGAAATGGCATAGCGATAAGACGCTAAAAAAGGAAGAAAAAAAAAACAAGTTTGGCAAGCCCAGTGGGCCTCCTTTCAGTTAAGGAAACCCTCATTTTATCACCTAATTGAACAAAATGCCTTCTCCTTCCGGTCATCAACCATCAGAAACCTCATTTCTAATTTATATTTGGTAAACATAGACAAGCGGTCCCCATGAAACGATGATGGAAAGATGGCCCTGGTTGGATCCATCCACCTTCAGAACGTTAAACAATCGCAGCCTCGAAATTCTCCTTCGCCTCGACGGCTTTTCTTCAGTCAAACCGTGGGAAACCGTGTCCCTGGTTGAACAGGATCCTCCTGCCGTTCCTGGACTGGATGGGTCGGAAGTTGTTCGTTAATTTGCTAGGACCCGCCTTGCTCGGACCGAACTTCGTCGTCAGTTGGTTCCAATGCTCCAGCTGTGCATTAAAAGTGAATTCACGATATTAAAGAGCAAAAACCTTAGGTCTAAGATTGCGGGTATTGCAACAGGAATTCTTCGCAAATATATTATTGCTGGCTTTCTTAGTATGATTAATATTAATACGAGAGGCTTTTGATGACGTTGAAGATAATGTCGAGTGACGTTACCTCCGTTACGTCACGATGAGCATTCGCCAGAGTGCTGCCCTGTCGCTCGTGGCTCCCGAGTGAAGCGAGCCAAACGGCTCAACGGGAGAGATTCTGTAATGGCCTCTACGACGAAGCGCGGTCCTGCCATCGAGTTCTCAACTTTCGCGAATTCCACGACAGCCAGGTAAATTTGTTCAAGACATAGGTGTTTTTGGCCAGGCAGTGAAATCTCCATGAGGTTTTCTAGAGAACGGCAGGGAGAGCGCACGCATGCATCCGTCGCCCCTCAGACGCCATCGCAGTGAATGGGGATGTGGGGGCAAGGGAGAATGGGGGGGGGGGGGAAAGCATCACTAACTATATCTATTGGATCGAATGGGATATCTCCAGTTATGTTGGGAGTGCTCGGAGGCCGGTTCTGGAGTGCTAGGTCAACTCTCCAATACCCCCTCGCACTGAGCAGCTAGGCACATGAAAACTCGCTCTATCAAGTAGTTACAGAAGCAATGAAGCAGTAATCAAAATCAGTAACAATGTGGTTGACCAGAATCGACGTGTGTCTGATACCTTGCGAGCTATTATTATGAGAATCCGGTTCTCATCCGTTATAGCGAGGAATGTCCCTGTGCGTCAAGTATATATGCCCAGTCGACATTTTTTAAAGAGCCATTGGCTTTTTCTTGAATCACCTTTCGGAAAAAGGAAATAATTTTTCTGTTGCGATGAAAAGTTTCTTGACTCTAATAGGAAAAAAAGGTTTCTAAATGCAGATTCAGAAACCCGGATTCGGAAAAAAATAAAATAAAATAAAAAAATAAAAACCAAAAGAGATTAGTCAATAACGCTCGCTTATTGACGGAAAAGGAAAGAAAGTAATAGATAAACGCATGAACAAAAATTCATGCAAGTATAAAATAATGAGAGCGTATTTCTCAACCAATTTATGTTCTTCCGTTGTCAAGCGCCAAACGTTAACCTATTCCTTTATTTGACGAGGAATTTTTTCAAACTGTCACTTGAATTATTTCTTAAATATTTTATATTACAGAATATTTATATACCTCGATATATAAAGATCTGCATCCCAAGAACGTACGACTATTTCATTTGAGGCGAAAATGGTGTCAATAGAGATCATTGCCGATTTAGTCAACATGTTTCCTAATGGAAACAGATTCCTCCATCCCTACTTGCACCAGCTCAAAATTCACCTTGGACTCAGGACTGATAAGGAAAGAAAATGACCTGTCGCCGTCCTATATGAATGGGAGTCTCGAAGACGGTCCAGACGACCACCTGATCGCAGGCAGGCATCGTGAAGGAGCCGCTGTACCGGTAGAACCTCCTCAGGTCGCGGGGCATCCAGAGGGTCAGCGGGGTGGGTGGGTTCACTGGGCTCACAGCGTCCTGCGCCTTCACCTGGGCCAGCGCTTTCACGAAATTTTCCCAGGCATGGTTAGATTTTTCCTGCAACTGCACGGGGAGCATCAAACGGTTATCGGACTCCCAGCAAGATGCAGTGAGACAGCAATCGCCACGCAAAAATTCAATGGTTGTGCGATACGGTTATTTCATGCATCACCGACATACAAGAACGCGTCGTAGAGAAGAAAATTACTTCCCAATATAACTAAAATTGTTCTCCATATTGATTATTTTCTTTTAATGTCACAAAAATCCAAGAATACAGTAAAATGGAGTAATATAGAGATTCGAGGGTCGTCAGTTTGAATGCTTTGTCTCGGTCCGTGGATTTGATACATATTTAACACGTTGACGACCAGCCTATTTTTGCTTGTCCACCGCGTGGGACCACGCGCATTTTTTTTTGTCAAAATATGCGTCCTTCCATCAGGACGCATGGT